CCATATTTTATTTATTGCATGTAATTCAAGTGCTGCAGTAAATACAGAATCACTAATTGTAATGGATTTTCCTTGTGCTTATCACTATGGTGTCTGAATACTTTTTAACCACCGTACATGTTTCTTCACAATATTGCAGAGGTTTTCCTCTCATTCCACTGATGCAAAGTAGGGAAATTAATGGCAAAACTTTCAAAGTTCTCCACTGTACCTGTATGTTCCAGAGTGACAATAAACCAACTTCCAACCAGCCCCAGTAAATTAATTGTGAATATCTTCTTCACTTGGTTGCAGAAGAGCTTTCAGAGGGGCTGCTGGTGCTGGTTATTTCCTCTAATTTGGAGTTTCCCCACACTGGGCTTGAGGAGTCTCTGTTGGCTGCCTCACACCAGGATTTTGAGGAAATTGTATCCCACTTCATCCACAAGGACATCAACCTCCAGCATAAAAACAGTAAGTCCCTTCAGCCTGAGAGCCCCACTGGAAGGATTCCCTAAAACCTAGTTTTTCTAATAATAAGACATTCTATTCTAGCAATCAGCTTAATTGCACTCAGGCCTTTAGACATATATTTGGTGCCAACATAACCCTTGAGTTTAAATACCTGTGTTCAAGCAATAACCTGTGTATACAAACTCACCTTGTCCTCTCTTCCCTTTCTTTTATTGGAGTTTGCTGAAATGAGGCTTCAGTCTTCTCTCCTGACAGATTCTCTGCTCTCATAACCAGCTCAGGGAGCCTTTCCTGTGACTATTCCAGCTTTCACGTGTCACTCTCGACTAGAAGCTGTACCCAAAATTCTGTAAGAGAGCCGTAACATCTGGATGTGCCTTACCTGCTCTTCAGATCTCACCTGTCATCTTCATTCCTGTGACTAAATAACACTTCTGAGTCTCCATCCTTCCCCGTTAACTGTGACGAATTCCCAGTTTACAAGAGTTTGGGCTGTCAGTCCCCGTGTGAACAGCCTTGTGATTTGCATTAATCTTATTACTGCATTCCACCAGTCCATTCCTCAGGATTCCTGCGCTGTTCCAGAACCTCATCCAGTTCTTCATTCAGGATATTCCAGTCCCCTGCATTGATGCTTTTTGAATTAGTCAGTAACTATCTGTGCTAACGCTCTTTTTCCAGTTCCTTGTGTCACTTAAAGCCAATCACAGCACCAGATCTGAGAGCAGAAGCTTTCAAAGCACTCAATCCTTAGCCCAGAAGGATTCAGCACAACCCAGCGCTGGATTTTTAGCAATTTTTTACCCAGAAAACTTTTCTTGCACTAATCTTCCTATTTTCCAATTTAACTTGTATTTTCAGATGTTGCACCAGACCAAACACTTTACTGATTTTGGGGGCTGTGAGATCAACTGTGTCTTCCTTTACCCAGAAAAATCTGCTTCCTTATCAAAGAGAGACATCAGCTTTGTCTGACATGATTGCCTGTGTTAAACCTTTTTTTTTTGCATTTTATCTCTTTACTTTCCTCTACATCTTTGCCCCCTCCAGAGGAAAAATAATTTACATTTTGCATCTTGCTGAGGTCAGGTTAATTAGCCTCCAGTTGTCTGGACTTACTTTCCAGGTATTTGTATTGATTTTGGGGTGTTTTTTTCTCCTTTCTCCCCATAATAGGATGCCAATTTCTGATTATTTTTGTACTTCTAGGAGTGGTAGAAAAAAAAAATCCACTCATTTGCATCACAACTCAACTATAAGGCTTCACATTTTGATTGGGTTTTGCTTGTTGGTGTTTTTTTTGTTTGTTTGTTTGGTATTTTTTCCTTTTTAAAGAAAGATGCTTTGTCACGACCGTGGATGCAGGAAAAAGTAATGAGTTGCAAAGTTCTTTAAAAAATAATGATAATGAGAAGGTTCTTAAGCAATGATAGCTGGGTCCAGGGCTCCGTTATCCTGTGGGACTGTTGATAAGTACCAGGGGCTGATCACTGACACGCAGAACTTCTGTTCCTTGTGCTGCTTCAGCTTTATTTAAACAGAAACTGAAGTGTGCTGGGGACTCTGCACTGGTGCATGAGGTAGTCCTGAACAAAATACACTCTAAGAATAGACAAAGTAAACAAAACAATGGGAAGACAGTGAATCCAGAGGGTCAGGATTACGTAGGGAAGGCTCCAGTGCCCTCAGTGCCCTCATGAACCCATGGCACGGGAAAACCGAGGTCAGTCACTATGTTTCCTGCAGCTGGGGAAAAGTCATATTTTTAAATGCTTTGTTTTGTCATGTAGTTAATTCCACTCTTTTCTAACAGTTAAACTGGACAGGGATCTTTCTGAGCAGGTTTCACTCAGGTACCCAATTCTATCTAATTAAATGTTTGGATTTGGGGTGGTTTTTTGGCGTTGTTTTTTCAGGGGTTTGCCAGATATACTCAATATTTTTCCAAATATTTGAAAATGATGTATTTTTTTTATGATTCTTCAGCATGTTTTACAGAGGAAGTTCTGACCAATGCCTTGGTTTTACTGAAAATTCATGTGCTATGCCCAGCCTTTACAAGCAGAGCTATTGCCAAGGTGTGATCACCTTGGCCCCTCTCAAGTCAGAGATAACTGAAAGATAAAAATGACCTCGTTTCACAGTCCCACAGCTGAACTCTGAAAGTTCCAGCCAAGCTGGTCAGAATGGGTTTGAATTTTTTTTGTTTCTAAGTAAATGTCACTGAGGTACCAACTTGTGACATTCGGGATCTGACGTTGAGGCCACGTGCATTTGAGGTCCATGGGGTGGAGGCCTCAAGCAGAAAATGAGTCCCATCCCCACACACAGACCCCGTGTGTGAATGTGAATTCCTAATGCTCCCCATGTGGGTTGATTACAGAACTCAGATTGTGAAATACACATTTATGGGTGGCTGCTGAAAGGCAGATAATTAGAAATTTCTCTCTGACCCTTCCGTGAGCAAATGTTTCCAAGCTGCTCAGCACCTTGTTTAAGTGGAATATTGGGATTGGTTTGGTTTACTCCTTTTTCCACCAGCTATTTGTGCCTGCCTTTGTACAGCTGGAACGAAGGGATGCTACTAAGTGTTCTCCCCATAGCATGAATATTTAATAGTTTGCATGTTCTTTCTCTGGATCGTGGGTGTGCCTATATAATACCAACAAAACCTCTTAAAATCAGGTTTTGCACGAGATTTTCAAAGCACATCATGGGATTGAGTCACAGTGCTGAGTAAACTACACCACTGTAGAATTCACCTAAAATTTGGAGTTGCCACATGGTGGTATTTTACGAACCAGCATGGATTCAGTGAAACCCCCCCTCAAGATTTAATTCCAGTTTGATCCAGCTTCCCAGTACGGATGAACTGGTGTCCTTTAGAAATAAAAGAAAAATCTTTAGCTCGCTGAAAAGAAGATTTTTTTTTTTTGGTTTCTCAGATGTGCAGATACTCATGTTCTCCAGCTCTGAGCTGCTATGAGTCTGCTGGGCGGATCCTGCAAAGTGCTGAGTCCATGCCTAACTTTAAGGGAGTATATCCTTAAAATCACCGGGACTGCTGATGTTTAAAATTACACAGAGACTTAAGTACCCTGATGGCCCCCGGCCAGTGGCTTTCACATCTTCTAGGACTGAGCCCTAAGGAGACACAGTGAACGGCTGCAGCTGAATCTCCTTTTCCCGTTTTAAATATAAGGTTTAAAGCCCAAATTCTGACAGCTGCTTAATTAAAGATACTCATTTTAACCGTGAGGAATGTGATATGCAGCGTTGCTACGCCTGGATTCTTTCTTTCTGCCTCTCCTGGCATCCCAGCTCACTCCTCTCCAGCGTTAGTGCAGGGCTTGCAGTTTTCAGTGCTGCTCCGTTCCTGCTTTATCCTCTTCCATCTTTTCCATCTGCTTTATTCTGTTTGGAAAATGGCAATGTAGAATGTGTTTGGTGTAACCTTAATCCTGACCAGCATCTGGGCTCCGTTTAAAAAAAAAAAAAAAAAAAGAAAAAGGCATCTACTGCGAGGAAGGTTTCTGTATATGTTTCCCTGCTTCAGTAAAACAAAGTTGGGGGGGAGGAAGAACCAAAAATAACCGTAGCAAAATTATATTTATTTTAATTGACGTGTTAATTAATATGTGGCTTTTTATGTGTTTTCCTGCCTACATGGACAAACCGTGGGGTTTGTGCTCTCACCTCTGTCCCGGTGGGGGTTGTGTCAGAGGTAAACCGGATTTGGACCATTTTGGACCAGGAAAGAAAAAGGGGGGGGGGGAGAGGAAGAGGGGGTGGCGTATTTAAATCTTCTTTTAACAGCCTCGCCGCTAATTACTCCCGATATGCACAAAAGTTCACACCACCATAAAACACGGGATGCACCGAAATTCCTGCCCGATGCTTTCTGACGTTTCCCTATTCAACTTTCCCAGGCCCGCAGAGGTCCCGGTGCGAGGCGGCTCCCGGGACCATCCCGGTGGACGGGCAGGGCAGTGACACCGCCGGTGTCCCCCCCGATCCCCCGCCCCGTCCCGGACCCCCCCATCCCCCCCAGGTCGGTGGGGTCGGGGCTGCGGGGCTGGGGCCGCTCTCGGGGGGCTCCTCCGGGCACCCCCCGCCGGGGCTCGGCCACCGGTGGCCGTGGAAATGCAGCGAAGGGTCGCGGGGGCACCGGGGGACCGAGCAGAGGCTCGGGAACTGTGTCCCCCCAACCCTCGGAGCTCCTTGTGCCGCCCCAGAGCCGGTTCCGATGGCAGAGGGATGGGAGCGAGGACGGCGCTTCCCCAGCCCGCTGCACCTCCCGGGGCGGGGGGTCCCGTCACCTCCCACCCCCCCCTTTCCATTCCTGCTCCTGTTGGGATTTTCCCGAGTCGCATTTTCCCCCGCGCTCCCCAGCGGGGAGCCCCAGGGCTCTTGAACTTCAGTCCCCGGCAGCCACAGAGGTCGCTTCTGAGCACCACGAAAAGGCTTTTTTTCATTATTTATTTATCCCCCCCCCCCCCAGCTGAGGCTCTCCCTCCCTCATGGCCGGAGTGGAAAAGCACGTTTAAATCCCGAACCCGGCTTTCCCACGTGGTGTCTCGCTGAGCTGCTGTCACAGCCACGCCGGGAGAAGGAGCTTCTGCCCTGCCCTGCCCTGCCCTGCCCTGCCGGGAAGGCAGAAGGTGATGAACGTTTTTTAATCAAACTGTATATTTTCGGGACACCGCATCAACCCCCGAACTTGCTCTGAAAAACTCACTCTGCTCGTGATCAGGCTCTTGCTTTTTGATTCCACCACCAAGCGTAGAAATAATGAGGGGATTAAAGTTCTGCCCCACCTTCCTGGGTGCCTGCTAAAGGGACGGATGTTTGTCAGCGATTTGGGGGTTAATTCAGACAAGTTTATTTCACATTCTGGGTCTCCACACACGCAAAGAGAACGTGTGGTTTGGGGTGAAGGATTAGCAGCGTGTACAGGGAGACAAAGGCAATTGTGGATGTGAATGTAGGGTCTACTGGGTGTGTGTATAAGCATTAAATCGGAGGGGGGGCCCCCCTGTTTTTTAGGTGACTTTTCACCCCGTTCAGAGATCATGGGCACAAATGCACCGTGTTTCAACACTCACTGGGGAGAAAGGGAAAGGGAGGGGAGGCAGGGCCGTTCCCAAGACTGAATCTGGTCTTCAGACCTCGCTGTAATCTCTGCGGGAAGGTGCCCCCTACTTTTAATTATTCAGCTTAAACAGACCTAAAGCACGCCACATCTTTAAGGCCTTTTCCCTGATGTCTCTAGGAGGCAGCCTTCATCGAGAAAGGAGATGAAATCTTGGCAAAAAGAGCACCGAAGGATGTGAACCCCTTGGAAAATTCCACTTCCTGCCCAGCACTGCGTGTCCTTGGGTCTCTCACTCATTCCCATGCACTTAACGAGGGATTTCTGCCTCAGGCTACCACACCAACTTTCTAAATAAATGCCGAGCTGCCTCGCACACCCGAGCTCGGTGCTCTGCAGTTAATCTCAGCTCAGCACCAGCTCTCTCTCCTCTCTTCCCACTTCCCTCCATTTTATTTTCTCCGCTGGTTTTTCTCTTCAGCAGACTCCAACTCTCTCTCCTGCTGAACTTGCCGGGAACAAAAGGCTCCGTTCCCGATCCAGCCCGCAGTTGCCGTGAGAAACTTCCTCGCCAGCGCTGTCTGTCGCTCCGCTCTCCCTCCCTCGCTCCCTCCCTGCCTCGGGAAAATGGCAGTGCAAGAGCTTGATGAAAAGGGGGAAAAAAACCTTCTTTCTCAGCGCCTGCATCTCCCGCAGCAACCCCCCCCCCCCCACCAGTCGTGACGCCTGAACTCAAACTTCTCTAAAAATACACTTTAGGAGGGCAGAATTTCACGGGAGGGGATGTATTTTTTTACACACCCCCCCCCCCCCCACTGAAAAGAGGCGCCGAGGTGGGGGAAAGGCCGAGGGACAGCTTTTTCCAGGCAGGAGAACCTGCTGCTGTCCCCTCCCGCACGGCATCGCCGGGTCCCGAGGACTTGGAACACAATAATAGTTTCCCTTCAGTGGGAAAATCCAGGCCCAGAGTTGAGATCTTTCTCTTTTCGCAGCTTTAAAAGCCCTTTTTTTTTTTTTTTTTTTCCCCTTTTTTAACTCTTCACAGCGGGGTTCGCAGCCGAACGCGGCTGCTCCTCCAGCCCACCCGAGAGCTCCCAAATCTGGTGGGATTCAGGGAAACCAGACGGCTGGCTCCGAATCCAGTGCAGGGGTTTTTGCAAACTCCGGTCCGCGTTTTGATTTTTTTTTCTTTCTTTTTTTTTTTTTTCCTTTTTTTTTTTTTTTTTAAGTAGATTTACTCTTCCTTCCCCGAGCGCACCGGAGCGCTGGTGTCCGAGGGCGGCCGGGGTGCGCCCCCCGCGTATAAAATAAAAGGGGTTCGCTCCTTCCCCTGCGCTTCATCACTGTTTTCCTCCCCTTCCCGATACCCCTCGGTTTTCCCCGGAATGACTAAAATTCCACCTCCGGCCTCATTTTTCGCTGCTGGGCGAGCGCCGCTCCCCGAATCCGCGCACGCACGTGCCCCAAAAATTGCGGCCGACCCGCTTTCCCCCCCACACCCCCCCCTACCCCGGGGGTGGTTGGGGTGGGAGGTGGGAGGTGGGACACGCGTGGCACCAGCCCCGGCCGCCCCCGGGGGTCGCGCAGGGTGCGGGGTTGGGGTGGGGGGGTGACTCCGCTCCCGCGTCTCCCTTCCCCTCCGCGAACTCCGCTTCGCTTTTTCCTCCTCCTCGCCGGCGCTGCTAAAATAAATGCATTTCCTCGAGTCAGGCCGAGTCCACTTTTCCTGCCTTAAAATGCGTCCAAAGTTTCGCAGCTCGCTGTCAGATGTCACCGGCGGCCGAGCCGGGGGCTCGCTCCCTGCCCGCGGGAAAAACTGGCGTGGGAAGCAGCAAAACCCCTGGAAAATCCACGCCTGCCTTTGAGCTGAAGGGACAGAGTTACCTTCGGCTGGAACTCGCAGCGCAGACCCATTGTGTCTCCCCCAAAAAAGGGAGGTTATACGATATTGTAACGTTATTTTTAGGTGGATAAGTAAGCGTTGCCTCAAACGATGGCCAGCAAACAAATAATTCAAATAATATTTATCTTTCGTGGTGATGAAGCCACATTGGGAGCGTTTAACCTAGATACGACAGTGGCTAAAACACTGCAAGGAATGGGCTGGGCAAATATAAACATATTTACAGGAAATGCAATTTTCTTTAGCAAACCCCCTCTCAGATCAGCTGAGGTGCAACCAATAACCTTTCCTCGCTCCATCCCATTTTTTGCAGCGTGCTCCATGAATTATAATAGATGGGTCTCTTGTTCTTGGGTCCAGTCTGCACATCTCAGCACGCTGTGCCTCTCTCAGTGAAATGGAAGAGCATCCTCCTTCGCCCAGCTACATTAGTTCCTCCTCAGCTCGTTTCGCTCTGGCTTAGTTGTGCTCGGTTAATACTTTATTGGAGAAGCTGCACCCGATTCCCGCAGCCACAAATCCAGTCCGTGTTTGTAGCCAGGGAAAGGCTGGGGATAATGATAACTTGTGTGTGTGCGAGCTGAGCTGAGGCAGCGCTGACTTTAGTCCGGTTTCCATGTCAACGATTCAGTCCATATTTGCCATCACACAGTTGGCAGAGCCTGATTTTTTTTTTTTCTCCTGGAGGGGGGAGACACTACTCCTGTTTCTAGTACTCTAATCTAGACCAGGTTTCCTAAACTGCCTTAGTGCTGGGTTAAATGGCACGGCCACCTTCATGAAGGAGACTTCCAGTCAGGAGGAGCCAGCGCGGTGGTGGTGGCCTGCAGTGCCATGTGAGCGCTGGTTTTCCAGCCTATCTGAGAGCCAGGGGCTGAGCCGGGCTGAGGGAAGCGTGCTCAGCACTTGGGGACACGGGGAAGGGAGCACGGCTGCTTAGCAGGGATCGCTCCAGCTGGGAAAAGAGTTGATGTGCCAAAATGAAAAGTCCTGTCCGGTCCTGGTGGTCATTACACCCCAGGGGTGACGGGACTGGCGGGAGGATTTTCAGCTCTGAGGTGGCAATGTTGTTAAGAGCTGTGCTGTTTATCTGCTTCCCAATCCTCATAGCTGGAAATTCACTGAATGCCTCAGTATTGAGTAGAGTGCCAGGGCCTCATTGATGAGGCGTATTCCAAAATCTGCTTCAGCTTTCACAAACATTTGGTAAAGTGAGTGTCTCCTCATTGTGTGGGTGGCTGGGGAATCCAGGCTGCTTTGCACATTACCATCAACACCGGGTTTCATAGTCTGACACAGTGCTCCTTGAAGGAGATTCCAAAAGACCCACACAGGTAGGGAGGTGTGAGCATGGGATCTTTATCTGGATGTGCCTGAGCTGCATCCCAAGCGCCTGAACTGAAGTGGTTAAACTTTTGGTGGTGCTCAGTTATTTGGTGGGGCTTTGGACTGTGGCCTTGGAGTTGGGGAGATGGGTGCTCGACATGGTTCTGGGGTTAAATGGCAGAATTCTCTCCAATTTGTTGGTGTTTTTTGAAGTTTAGTGTAAATGAAACATCCGAGGATGAGTGTTTTGGTGCTGTGGGGCACTGTAGCCCACCACAGACATTAATAAAGCCAACCTGATGTTGGAGGAGTTTCTCCCTATTGTTCTTTGTCTTTCTAGAACCCAGGGTTTCATCAAATAACTCCTCTGAAGAGAGGATGCAGACCAATTTTTGTTCTAGCGTGTTGCACAGTTTCCAAACTCTTCTGAAGAAGACTATCTTGGTGTTTTTGCTGCTCTGTGTCCACACAGGTCTCACTAAAGCCACGGAGCCTCTCGTGTGAGATTCCATCATTGCACTGAGGCTCCAGCCCTCATGAAGGCCTTTGAGTATTATCACAATACTGATATCATCAATTATCACCCTTTCCTTTCTAGTAGTTTATTTACAGCTGTGGACAAAGACCGACCAGCCAATTTGGTGGATGGAATCTGCTCCACGTTGCACACTCAGCTGTGCAGGTTGTGAAATGGCAAAGCAGCTTTGTTTGGACCCCGCAGAACAGTTTATTGCTCTAGAAAACATTTAAAATTTTGCTCTCAATCGCTCTGTCCCTCCTCTCCTCCCACTTTCCAGCTTTGGAATAAACCCCTTTGTTCCACCACCTGCATTCTGGATGATAAGTATTTTATATTACAAGTTCTATAATGAGCGTGAGGGTTGAGTTGATGCCAGTAGACACTGACACCTTCACTTCACTTTACTTCACCCCTGACAGGCACAGGGTGCTGGCAGGGATCCAGTTCAGCTACCCTTGGCCTTGCCTCTTGTGCTGTACTCGTGTTTCCCCAGTGTCACCAGTTAAAATGGGATTCCTTGCAGTTTGCCCTTGTTGGGTTCGGGCTGAGCCCTGTGTGTTTGTCACTGTTCAGGGGTTACTTCTGCCCTGTTTTCTCTTTTGGGGTGATGTTCTAAAATGGCAGCCTCAGCCTTTTGACCCTCCACCCATTGTCTTCTTTCTCCATAAAGTTGTATTTACTTAAACTTCGCTTCTCCAAATATTTCCATGTTCCAGAGGAACACCAGTACATGGAACCCCGGCCTAATCCATACCATGCCTGCCATTTTCACTAGACAACTCTGTCCTAATTTCTAACTTCTTGGTGTTTACAATCCAAATAACTCATCTTTTTGTACCTTCCACGCCCTGCTGCAGCCCAGCACCATTTGAAGTAAAAAAGGCAGGTTCAGACCCCGCTGGCATAGGCCAGGCTGAGTCCAGGATGGAGTTCCAGGTATGTTCCTCTCCTCCCTACTCCCGCTCTGGCAAAGGCCTCGGGGATGGAGGAGGTGGGAATCTGGGTCTGAAAGGGTTGCAGAAGAGCATGGCCCAGTTCCCAGTTCACCTCTCGACAGTCGGGGAGCTCCAGCACCGCGACTGCCAGAGCCTCCTTGTCCCATTGCCCAACGTGTTGTGTCTAGACGCGTTCAGGTGGTTTTGGATCTGGGAATTCCTGGTTCCGTGCCCACCGCCCTCGCCTTGGCAGGAGCAGGGGAACCGGACTTTCTTGGATTGTCCTGCGCGTGCAGTCACAGCCCTGGCGCGCCGCCAACGCCTTTTCCAGAGGGACACGGCCAAGCGGAGAGGAAATGACAACCGCTAACAGTTCGCAGAGGGCTTAATTCTAAATGGAATTTCTAGGGACAAAGAAGAGGCGCTTCGGCAACCCACCGGCCCAAACCCCCCGAGCCCGGCGGCTCCGGCGAGAACCCGGAGGGGCTCCCGCCGCGGGACATCGCCCCGCTGCCCCCCGCTCCCCCCGGGGGAGCGCCCCGGGGCAGGTCCGGGGGGGTTCGCTGCGCCCCCCCCCCCCCCCCCCGCCCCCGGCTCCGCGGATCCGCCGCGGGTTTTGCGAGCGGCAGCTCCGCGCCGGCGGCGGCCGGGGCCGGCCCGCTCCTCCTTTGTGACGGGGGGGAGGCTCCGCTCCGGGCCGGGCTGCGCTCCGCTCCGGGTTTGGCAGGCGGCCGCGGCGCTGGGTAAAATGGCAGCGCTGAGCCTCGTGTCGGACTGAGCCCGCTCGGCCGAGCAGAGTCGGAGCTCGCCCAGCCCGGCCCCGCCGCCGCTCGGCCCCGCTCCGGGGACGGCGCCCGCCCGCCCGCCGTGTCCCCCCTCCCTCCCTCCCGCCTCTCCCGCACCGGGAGCCCCGTCCCGGGTCCCCCCCCACCCCCCCTTTCCTCCTCCTTCCCCCCCACTCCCTCCTCCTCCCCTTTCTCCGCCGGCTGCAACCGAGGAGGTACAGCGGGGCCAGGCCCCGGGAAGCCCAGCCCAGCGGAGCCCTCCCCGCCTCGCCGAGCAGGCCGGGGGGGAATGAGCCCCCGCTGCCCTGAAGAGCCGCCCGCCGCCGCCTGAGCGGGGAGAGCAGAGCAGCGAGGCCTCACGCCGGCCGGCCAGGCAGGGAGCAGCTCGGGGGGACCGGTCCGGGGGGGTGGCTGGGTGGGGAGGGGGGGGATCATGGCTGCTCAGGTCGCCCCCGCCGCCGCCAGCAGCCTGGGCGCCCCGGCTCCATCCGAGCTGAAGAAAGCGGAGGCGCAGCAGCGGGATTGTCCCCCGGAGGAGGCGGGGGGTGAGGCGGCGGCGGCGGAGCGCGGCGAGAAGCAGGCGGAGAGCGAGGGCCCGTCGGGGAAGGAGCTGCAGGACGGGGCCGAGAGCAACGGAGGGGGCGCAGGGGCCGAGTCCGACCTGAAGAGCTCGAACGGGAACCCGGGCCCCAGGCCCGCCGCCGCCGCCACCCTGAACAATAACCTCCCGGAGCCGCCCGGTGGCGGCGGCGGCGGCAGCGACGGGGTGGGGGCGCCGCAGCCGCCGCCGCCGCAGCAGCAGCAGCCGCCCCCTTCCCACCCGGCCGCCTTGCCCCCGCCAGCCTACGGCTTCGGGCAGCCCTACGGCCGGGGCGCCGCCGCCGCTGCCTTCCACCAACATGGCGGACAACAAAGCCCTGGCATGGCAGCGCTGCAGAGCGGGGGCCTGGAGCAGAACTACCCGGGGCCGGCGGGAGCCCCCGCGGGGCCGCCCCCTCCGCAGAACTCGCACGGCGCCGGGGCCGAGCACGGCTTCCCCAACCACCAGTACAACTCCTACTACGCGGCCGGGCGCAGCGCCGGCTCCTACCCGCCTCCCCCCCAGGCCTACGCCCTGAGCTCCCCCCGGGGCTCCGCGCCGCCGGCCGCCAAGTCCCCCGCGGCCGCCGCGGCCGCCGCCGCCTTCCAGCAGCAGCAGCAGCGCTTCGGGGTCATGGGTCCCTCGGCCGCCGGCGGCGCGGGAGGAGGGGGCACCACCCCGCAGCCCACGGCCACCCCCACCCTCAACCAGCTCCTCACCTCCCCCAGCTCCGCCCGCGCCTACCAGGGCTACCCCGGGGGCGACTATAGCGCCGGGCCGCAGGACGGGGCGGCCGCCGCCAAGGGCGCCGCCGACATGGTCTCGCAGTACGGCGGGGGCAGCGGCCAGGGCTGGGGAGCAGCGGCCGGCGGGGCCCCGCCGAGGAGCCACCACGCGCCCATGAGCCCCGGGAGCAGCGGCGGAGGCGGCGGGGGACAGACCCTCGGCAGGAGCCAGCAGGTACCGGGCCGGGCCGCGCGGGGCCGGGCGTGGGGGGCACGGGCACGGGGCGCGGGGGTCGCGGGGCTCGGGGGGCTCGGGGCGGCGGCGGTTGTCCCGCGGGTCCCCCCGCCGGGCCGGCGCTGCCGGGCGCTGCCATTGTCTGTGCTGCTCGCTCGCTCTATAAAATGGCTGCCTCGCCGCCTTCCCTTCCTCCTCTCCCTCCCCAGCCTTTGTGCGGGGCTCCCCGGCCGGCCCGCACGCCGGGGGTCCCCGCCGGCCCCGGGGGGCTCCGGCGGGGGGCAGCGGGTCGGGGAGGGCGGCG